TGATTGTCACAGTTCATAAGGATAGCCGGAACCGGTTTATCAACCAATGGCAAGTCCATCAAAAGATCTCGAAGCCATCTCGCTTCAACACCAGATGTGTCTAATGCCGTTAATTCTGCTTCCATTGTCGATCTCGTTAAGATCGTTTGCTTGCAAGACTTCCAGGAAACAGCGCCACCTCCAAGAGTAAACATATACCCAGTTGTGGCCTTCATCTCATCAGCATCAGAGATCCAATTCGCATCACTATACCCTTCAAGTACCGACGGGTATCCGGTATAGTGAAGTCCATAGTTCATAGTACCTTTCAGATAGCGCATAACTCTCTCAACAGCATGCCAATGTACATCACCCGGTTTGGAAACAAACCGGCTTAGTTTGCTCACAGCAAACGCGATGTCAGGCCTCGTTGCGCTCGCTAGGTACATCAGTGAACCAATGATTTAAGAGTATCTCAATTGATCTTTAGCCATGCCTTTGGACTTTCGAATCAATACGCTAGGATCATATGGTGTTTGAGATGATGTGCAGTCCGAATATCCAAAACGACTCAACACCTTCTCAACGTAATGGGATTGCAGAAGCGTGATCCCACCCTCATTATCTCTCAGTAGCTTGATGTTCAAGATAACATCAGCCACACCAAGGTCTTTCATCTCAAAGTTCTGAGATAGAAACGATTTGACCTCCTCAATGACTTTGAGGTTTGTTCCGAATATCAGTATGTCATCAACATACAAGCACAGTATAACTCCTTTGCCCCCACCATGGCGATAGTATACACATTTGTCAGCCTCATTAACAACGAAACCAAAAGATGTCAGAGTTGTATTAAACTTATCATGCCATTGCTTAGGTGCTTGTTTCAGGCCATATAAAGATTTTATCAACCTACACACCTTTCTTTCCTGACCATCTATCACAAAGCCATCAGGCTGTTGCATGTAGATTTCCTCCTTTAGCTCTCCATTTAGAAAAGCCGTCTTAACATCCATCTGATGGACGAGAAGACCATGTGAGGCCGCCAACGAGAGTAATACTCGAATGGTGGTCAGTCTAGCCACAGGTGAATAAGTATCAAAGAAATCTTCCTCTTCTTGCTGGTCATAGCCCTTGGCCACAAGCCTAGCCTTGTACTTTTCAATCGTACCATCGGGCCTAAGCTTCTTTTTGAACACCCACTTACATCCCAGTGGTTTGAAACCATAGGGACGGTCAGTGATCTCCCATGTCCCGTTAGCCATGATGGAATCCATCTCGCTACGGACCGCATCCTTCCAGTAGTCAGCTTCTGGAGAGGCATACGCTTCTGAAATAGAAGTGGGAGTATCATCCACGAGGTACACGAAGAAATCATCACCAAAGGTCTTTGCAGTCCTTTGTCTCTTGCCCCTACCAAGGGTTTCCTCGTCATCCTCCTCGGGATTTTCATCATGTGTTTGTTCATAATATTCCATAGGGATGGCAGGTTCAGGAGTCTCCTCAGATTCCTGTCTAGAAGTGCTTTGCATATCTCTCATAGGAAAAATATCCTCAAAGAATGTAGCATCCTTAGACTCCATAATTGTACCGATCTTCTGGTCAGGTACCTCAGATTTCACTACTAGAAATCTATAGCCAACGCTGTTCTTAGCGTAGCCCAAATTAATGCAGTCCACGGTCTTATGTCCAAGCTTACGCTTTTTGGGGATCGGCACGTTGACTTTCGCCAAACAGCCCCAAGTGCGCAGGTACGAGAGTGTCGTCCTTCTCTTTGCCCATTTCTCATAGGGAGTGATCTCACTCTCCTTTGTCGGAACTTTATTCAGGACATGACATGCCGTCAATATAGCCTCCCCCCACCATGCCTTGGATAAACCCGATGTATCTAACATGGCGTTAACCAAATCAGTTAGAGTACGGTTTTTCCGCTCGGCAACCCCGTTTGACTGGGGTGAATAGGGAGGCGTCCTCTCATGAATAATGCCGTGTTCCGCACAGAAGGAATCAAACTCACTCGAGAAGTACTCTCCACCACGATCTGACCGGACTCGTTTAATTTTCTTTTCAAGTTGATTTTCAACTTCTGCCTTATAGATTTTAAAGTAGTGTAGAGCCTCATCTTTAGTATTTAACAGATACACAAAGCAATATCTAGTGGAATCATCTATCAATGTCATGAAGTATCTCTTTCCACCTTTAGTCAACACACCATTCATCTCGCAAAGATCAGAATGTATGAGTTCTAATGGTGCCAGGTGTCTCTCCTCCGCGGCCTTATGAGGCTTGCGAGGTTGCTTAGCTTGCACACATGAAAGGCACTTAGAACCTTTGGCTAAAGTGAAACTCGGGATTAAATCCAACTTGGCTAGCCGCGTCATAACACCGAAACTTATGTGACAAAGACGTGAGTGCCAAACCTCAGATTCATTAATACTCGAATGAATATGGTTCACGACTTTATTACAGAAATCTGCGAGGGAAAGGCGGAACATCCCTCCGCTCTCATAACCTTTTCCAACAAATAGTCCATACTTAGTAACAACTAATTTATTAGACTCGAATACCAACTTAAACCCTTCTCTACATAGAAGGGAGCCACTAACGAGGTTCTTTTTGATGGCGGGGACATGCTGCACGTTCTTCAGCTGCACGATCCTTCCCGAAGTAAACTTCAGATCGACCGTGCCAACACCATGAACAGAAGCACTCGCGCCATTCCCCATCAATACGGACCCGTGGCCTGTGACCTGGTAAGAAGAGAACAATGAAATGTCAGCACACACATGAACACCTGCACCTGTATCCACCCACCAATCGGTAGGCTGAAACACTGAAAAAACAGTAAATAAATTACCGTACCCAGATGCACCATTCTCATTGTTGCTCACAATCATGTTGATAGACTTGGAGTCCTGTCCTGACTTCTTAAACTTGTTTGGGCACTTGTTGGCCCAATGTTCAGCCGAACCACAAGTAAAGCAGCCCTCATCCTTCTTGTTCTTCTTGAAGGTCTTCTTACCCTTCTTCTTAAAGTCGGCAGTCTGTTGGACACCGTTCTTTCCCCTGGGCTTGTGGGAATTGGAGTTCTTCTGATGCACCATATTGGCCACAGAAGTTCCTTCGACCCCTTTTCCGTGCGAGTCCTTTGCCCTTGAGTTCTGCTCAACACTCAGATGGCCAATGACATCCTCCACAGAGAATTCACGCCTCTGATGTTTCAGAGTGGTGGCAAAGTTCCTCCAGGAATTGGGGAGCTTAGCGATTATGCAGCCCGCGACAAATTTGCCCGGTAACTCGCACTTAAGAAGCTCAAGCTCCTTAACAATGCATATTATCTCATGAGCCTGTTCCAATACAGGACGGTTTTCAACCATCTTGTAATCGTGGAACTGCTCTATAATATACATCTCGCTCCCTGCATCGGCAGCCCCGAACTTAGATTCGAGCGCCTCCCACAAGTCCTTGGCAGACCGCATATGTAAATATGCATCAACCAGCTTATCTCCAATCACGCTCAGAACTGCCCCGAGGAACACCACGGTGGCCTCCTTAAACGCCTTCTCCTGTTCAGGAGCGATCGTTCCTGTAGGAGTCACACCGGCGACCCAGAACACGTTCATGGCCGTGAGCCATAAGGTGGTTTTAGTCTGCCAACGCTTAAAGTACGTCCCCGTAAACGGGGACGGTTTCAGTGCAGCAGCAAAACCAGAATTCGAAAAACTCCTACAGATATTAGGTTTTTGGATTGATGAGAAAATAGGCAGTTTTTCGATTAAATTAATCCATGAATAAATCATGAGCATGACATGGACAGCATTGATAACATACTGATTATGATCTAACAGAGCATGTACTACGCATATAGTAGAGACATCTACGCATACCGCTAGTACTGCTACAACAGAAAGAAACACGAGAGGGATAAGCGATGTATACCCTCCAATCGGCCACGCGGTGGCGGTGGCGGTGACAGCAGCCGCGGCATCCTCGGCGGCCTTCTTGTCGGCCTCGGCTTTCTCAGCGGCGGCACGGTCGGTGTCGGTCGACATGGTGATGATGAAGGTGATGCGGACGTAGATGAACAGAAGCGAGCAGTCGCGTAGTCGCTACCCAAAAACCTAATCGCCCCTCTCCCCGTACAGGATCCGGAGAGGCGTGGTTTCGGAGGCCTGCTCTCCCGTCAACCGTGTACGCGGTGAACGGGACGGAGTCGCCGGCGGCAGCAGCAGCAGCGGAACGACGTGGGCGTGGAGGCGGAGATGCGTTCTGTTTCGTGACGGCTAGGGTTGGCAGCGCCCCACATATATATGTGCGGCCGCGCGTGGAGAGACGTGGGCTGAACCCACGTCCAAGTCGGTAGCCCACGATCCGACGTCTCAGATCGTGGCCCCACCTGTCAAAGACTCTCCGTTCCTGACCGGCAAAAAGAAGCGCATGGGAGTGAGCTCGGCTCGGCTCAATCCCGCAACCCGCGGCGCGTCGTGACGAGGCGTGGCGTGGCGAGGCGAGCGGAGGAGGAGGAGTGCGCGAGGGCCTCATCTCTTCTCAAGCTCCAATAGCATGAGGGAGAGAGTCCCTTATAAACCACTCCAACTCTCCTTCCACTTCCAAGGTGGGACTAAACTTCCCACACACCTAGTGCCATATAACCCACATGGGCCCTTAGAGATTTTTCAGAAATTGCAATATGGGCCTAGAGCCCATCTCAGATTTCAGCACTAAGCATAAACACCCAGCCTAAAATAGACCCCACTCACAAGAGCAGGACAAAAACTGGCCGGATGCAAGCTGCAACTATAGAGTCGTAAGCTAGAACAGAATAAGGTGGTCCGCTTCTGAACTTCCCACAATGAACAGAAGATCAAATCGACCGTCGAACTATGAGGCATCCAATCAGGAAACAGAGGTTATGGTTCGCTAAATTTGAAGCCACCTAAAGCAGTGTCGCTACACGCTGGTCCCTTCCGTTTCCGCCCCGAGCCTAATTGTAACTGACACCAGAAAGAAATTGAGCTGACCTGAAGCACCAGGAGCGGGAAGGAGGATATGTCGTCGGTGTAGTCGACGGGCGGGATGAGGCGCTTGAGGTCCATGGTGGGCGCGAAGTCCCCGTAGTCGTCGACGGCGGCGCCTGGCGCGTCGGCCTCGACGAAGAGCACCCCCTCCCCGCTGCAGTCGATCTCGACCCTGCCGTCCTCGTCGCGCGCGAGGCGGCCGGCCATGGGGTAGAAGGGCACGAGCGCGTCGGCCAGCGCGAGGCGCATCCGGTCGGCGTCGAAGAAGCCGTCCGCGCCCGCCTCGGGGCGGCGGTAGAAGTAGACGCTGGGCGTGTGGAAGCGCGGCACGACGAGGTCGAGGTTGGAGTTCCAGAGCCTCTCCCGCGGCCTCTCCACCGCCGGCCGCACCATCGTGGACCGCCTCACCGTGATCGCCATCTGCCGCCGCATTCCAGGGAACAGACAGCCCGTCAGCGAAACGGAAGGGGGGGAAACGCGACGGACGAGAAAATAATACAGGCGCGGCGACTGACCGTGGAAGAGGGGTGGACGGACGGCGGTGTGGTGGATCAGATCTGCGGCGGCGTCGGCGGCGCGGCAAAGCCGACGGGATGGTTGGGTGGTAGTAGCAGCTCTTGGTGGAGAGCAGCTGGTGGGCGAGTGGGGGGTGGAGCTGCTTATATAGGGCGGGCGAGCGGGTGGTCGGGCGGAGCGGCGGCGTTCCTGTGATTGTGCTGTGCTCTGCGGCGATGGGTGGGGAGTTGGTGGGATGGGGACGGGAACGGGGACGGGGAGGCGATGGTGACGGACGGCAAAGAGGAGGGGAGTGTTTGGCAGATGGGCACGGCTCACCGCCCCGCCTGACATTGGGCGCGCTCCCAGGTTCCGGCTGCGCCGAGTGCGGGGGCGGTGCGGACAGACATTCGCTGTCGACCGCCGTGCGTATCGCCACCGCCGTGCGTATCGCCAGGCAGGCCGGGTGAATGGAGGGCAATTTGAGGAAATGCCACACTTTTCCTGGGACTTTGCTCTTATAGCACACCTTTTTTTTTATTGGACTAAATAGCACACTTTTCATTGTTAGCTGGATAGAACACCACATATTGAGTTTTTCCTACTTTTTCATGCCCAAGCCCAGACGTCATACATTCTAGGACCGATTTGCCCTCTGGTTGTTTCACTTCGTTCCTGTTCGATCGATCAAATCTTTCCTTCTCTTATGAACGCCACAGAAGACAGAGTGACAAAGCAGTGCGCCGTGCCGTGCCTTTTCCTCACGTCGTCGCCGTACCTCCACCCCGGCGAACTGCCGCCTCGTCGTGCCTTCTCCCCGACGTCGCTGCCTCGCCATACCTCCTCTCTGGCGAGTCGCTGCCTCGCCGTGCCTAGCCTCCCGTTCCTATGCATGAAGCGGCGCCCTCGGCCACGCTCCAGCAATTCCCTCGGATTTTTTTCTTCGGAATAAAGCCACTCCCTCCGTCTTGGCAGAAAAGAGACTGCGCTGGCCCTCCTCCTCGTTGTTCTACTGGCTGGCTGGCTGTTGAAGTGGTTGCTGTACATGCTGGTATACTTTTGAAGTGGTCGCTGACTCGCTGTATCCATGCTAGCTGGAGCTTGCTATAGCTGCTCGTTGCTCAAGTTGTTAGCATGTGGCTCAAAGCGAGAGGAGGCAATCAGCAGAACGTGCATGTGCACCGTTGGGAAGGAGAACGTACATGTGCACCGTTGAGAAGGAGAAGAAGCAGGACGAGGTAGTCGCGGGAGAACTGGTAGACGCGAGGAGGAGTCACGGCGAGGCTGTGGCGCGCTGGGAGGAGTCACCGCGAGGCGGCGCCGCCGGGCAAGGTGCACCGGTAGGCGGCAGCGTGGTGCTTCGCCTGTCCTGCGCTGATGACGATCGAACCAGCTCAACCAGTACTTAAAATGATTGAGGGCAAATCCATCCTAAAATGTATGACTTATGGGCTTGGACGTGGAAAAGTAGGGAAAAACTCAATATGTGGTGTTTTATCCAGTACCAATGAAAAGTGTGCTATTTAATCCAATAAAAGGAAAGGTGTGCTATAGGAGCAAAGTCTCAGGAAAAGTGTGGCATTTCCTCAAATTACTCGTGAATGGACGAGGGCACCTACAACAGTGCTATCTTACGACTGACACATATGATAAATGACGAGACGTAGGAGAGAAAACTTCGTAAGAAAAGAAGACAAAAGATGATTTCTTAGCACAATATGTCTCATCATGTTTTTAGAAATAGCAGTTATTGAAGATAAGTCTAAAAAACAATTCATTATAGATATTTTCTTAATCATCTCTGAATTACATGCACGATTTAAGATAAGATTATCTTATCCGTCACTGTATATGCCCTGAAAGGATTAAAAATGGCTTCTCCTTCCTCCAACGTGACTGTTACGGCCGCTTGATGTGGCGAAAGGGGTATGGACACGTTTGGCTGCTTCACACATGTTGCCACCCTGGGTCGCAGCTCACGCCACACACCCGTGGCACACCACACCTGCCTTTTCCCTTTCCTGTGACAACTAATAATTATTTATTTCATACAGTATCAACGAGAACGGTCAGATGGTAAATAGTTCTGCCACATGTAGCGTGTAATGCGCACGATCGCTAAAATGGGGCCGCGGATCACAATTGTGGGTGCAACAACCCGCAAAAATAAGCGAAACGTTTATAGCCGGTCGACCGGCCGAACGTTCGGCCGGTCCGTCCCCTCGCTCGCGTCGCTAGGCAGCTCAGGCCCACCAACCACAGAACTTATCTCTAACCCCACCACTTCCATCTTATCCCCTCGCTCTTTCTGGAGACCACACGAGGCATCCTCGTCCTGCTCGCCCTTCAGTCCCCGAGTTCTCAATCTCCCCTCTTCCTTCCTGTGTTCTCTCCAAAATACACACCAAATTCCCATGAAACTGAGCTCGTTTTTGTTGCCTTCTCTGCTCCGCGCAACATTTTTCCTCCATAGATCCATGAGAGGGGTGAGCTCGTCCGTGCTTTTTTCCTTTTTCTCTCATGCCATGTGCAGTCCGCCATGGATCCCATGAGGTTGGGCTCAAGCACAAGATTGATGTTTCTTTTCTTGCTGTTCATATTGGAGCAGCGTCCAAAGGGTAGGACGACCGTGCTGCAAGCTCGTGCACCCACTGCGTTACCATGGTGTGCGACGGCGGAGACCGGTGCCGGCTGGGGCAGCGATGCAGGAAACGGCACACCTCGTTGCTGGAAACGGCCGACTGAAAAGCTGCAACCGGCATCCGATGATGCTGGAACCAGTAATCATTTTTGCTACCACAGGCGTTTGGTTTTGCTGGAACCACCGCCAAATTTGCAAGTTTGCTACTACTGACTTTCTGGTTTGTTGGAACAAGCTTGAATTTTTGCTACATCGGCATTTTTGACTTTTGCTGGGGGACAACTTTCATTTTTTTTTGTTTTGCAATTTTTGCTACCACCGTTTCCTTTTTGCTAGATCCGATGCAATTTTTTGCTACATTCGGGATGGATGGAGCTGCATGATAGGGAGCTGCGTCTTAGTTTTTTGCTGAAACCGGGACACGGATAGCTGCTACCGGCGATTTTTTTGCTTCAACGGAGATGAGACCCAAAGAGTTTTTTTGCTGGAATGAAATTTCTTCATGAGGTGCAGTGGCGAGGCATTTTTATTTTTTTGTGCTGTAATTTGTGCTTTTTGCTGGAACCATGTTTTGATTTTGCTACAACGAGCATTTGATTTTGCTGGAACCGCCTGAAGCAGATTTGGGACCAGTTTTTTTAGTAACTGATTTTTGCTGCAACCATCCAACTGGTGAGCGGGCCCGGTGAACGGCGCCGGTGAGCTGCTCCGGCGAGCGGCGACGGCGAGCCGGTGAGCGGGTCCGGCGAGCCGGCGAGCAGCGGCCACCGAGCTGCAATCGTCGCTACAGGGAGCTAGAACCGCAGGGTCACGTTGCTGGCGTGAAACGCAGGAGGCGACGTCGGCGACCGGTGACGACGACGGCGACCGGCGGCGAGGGCAGCGACAGGGAAGACACGGGGGGAGGTGCTTCGAGGCTGGCACGTCGTCGTCCATGAAAACTTTTTATAAAAAAAGAAGACATTCGAGGGAAAGGAAGAAGTGCTTCGAGGCTGCTGATTGTTTAATCGTACGATGCTGGTACGACCGGCCTAAATTTGGGCCGGCGCACCGGCGCCCATCACTCGCCCAAAAATAATGTGGTTACAACTTACAACCCATCACCTGCCCTTCTTTAAAGGATTCTTTTGATTCACGGGAGTATATATGATTATGTTTCGGGGCAGCTCAGCTCACACAAGCGTGGGGCAGACCACACTTGCTCTTCCTTTCTCTTGTTTCGTAGCTATACGAATATACGATTAGATGATGAATAATCCTGTTACATGCACGGTACTCCAGAATGGCATGCCCCACAAATGTGGTTACAACCCATCGCCTAACGTTCTCTAATTTTTTTTCGGGAGAGAACGTTCTCTAAATTTGGTAGTGCATTAAAGCATATAGAGCCGGACTTTACAAATTCGGCCCCTCAAATACCGCGGACCATGTACACTGACTGGTCAGGCCTCAAATAATGCAATCCATATCCGGACACCTTAATTATCATATCTCAAATCCATACAAACTCATACAGCTACACCGATACGTCGATGCACATACATCATCCGACTACTTCATCACACTACACTAAATATGCCATCGGACTATCAAAATTTGGCATGTTTGGCTATGGTGGAGATCATCCACGATTGTCCTTGCCTTCCGGGTGCCCTTTCCGTCCTTCTCGCGAAAGTACCGGTTGAAGACGCATTAGGGATCGAGCTGGATCTGCTCGTCGCCAGAGTTGTCCTCCTTCTGCTCCTTCGATGATAGTCCGGCCATTGCACGGACCGTCCGATTTTGCTCTCGGGCGAAGGCGTGCGCGTTCCTCTGCGGCCATTTTTTCACAATGCGGGCACGGATGACTTTCTCCTTTCCGGCCACCCGTGCCGCCGCATTAGCCGTCTCCGTTTCCACCATTTTCGCAGAGATACGGGTCTCGGCGGCCCTTATTCTCTCCTTCCCATGACGGACATATCATTGAGCGGTGGCGAGGAAACCAAGGATGCACATGCTCTGGATAACTCAATTTGTGGGTACCGGAGCGGTGGTGAGTGGCTCGTCAACAAAGCTGGCGCACGTGGTGCGGAAGGATTGACGAGTTCTGAGGGTAATAATGTCTCTGTTGGTGTGCAAGAGAGGAGCTGCATTTGGTCAAAGTGCTTTATCAGCTTGATCTGCCAGCATGACCACTTGTGAGGAACCGATACAATATCTCTAGGCAATAAATGATGACACCGACATGGCCAGAAATGGTTAGTCAAGGCGTGGCGAAATGGCCTATATATCCATTTGCTCAATT